ATTCATCTTCACCGTGGAACCATTTGTGTCTTGCTTCTCTCAGCAGTACGCGCGTGTCACGTTACTAAATCCATTTGGTGTGTGTTGTGTGGATGTAAAACCGCTAGGCGCTTCTCTCTTTTCTCTCATTTCTCCTCGCTTTTTTTTTCTTTTTTCATTTTTAATTTGAATAACAACCATTTTTTTTTTTTTAAATTTGTTTTACTAAATATATCACAAACTGCCGGTGGTTAGTGTAGCTATCGAGTTCGTGTCAAAACCATTTATTTTGCTTCTTTCGTTAATCCTTGGTATATGGGCCACGGTACGCGATGATTGGGTCAAAAGTGACCTACGCCAGTAGATCTAAATTTTATCTAATTTTCGTTTATCTAATCAGTATTATTAACGATCACGAAATTAACTAGGTCAAAAATGACCGTCGAATACGAAGCAAACATTCGTATCATTTGTGTTTTTTTTTGTTTTGTTATTTCGTTAAATGAATGAAATCGATTTTTTTTTTTTTTAAGGATGGAACGAATACTTTTTTTAGAAGTTTTGATTATATATTTTTTTGTATTTTCTCTCGAATAAACGCTTTTTGACACGAATTCTCAAGCTACCACCGGAAAAATATAACGTTAAGGGATTACATGTTAATAGTTACATCACTGTCAATAGACGCGCAGCTCCGAAGGATTCTCCACGAAATATCATGGAACCATTCGACGAAGAATCCTTCGGTCTCGTCTCCAACGTACGGTTAGTTTTAAGTTGTCGAACTAGTAAATTTTTTTTATTTTCCGTTTTATTATGCTGCCACAGAAGATTCTCCTTTTATTTTTTTTTTTTTCGTTTTTGTTTACTCGTAAACTGTAAATACCTTTATAAATTCATTACCTTAAAAGTATATATATTTATATATATTATATTACGTAATAATCTTCGTTTCGTTTTGTTTTTCATTTTCTTCCTTTCGCATTGCTCGTTTTTTTCTTCTTCTCTTTTTTATCGATAGAATCGTCGCGGATGCCTAATAGAATCGATTTCGAAATTTTGAATTTTTTTTTTTTTTTACTTTCCGTTCATCAATTTTCCACCTTCGATTTATTCATCCTTCCACTATCGAAAAAAACTTTTTTTTCCTATCCTTTCACTCTTTTCTATTTTCCATTTTCTTATTTTTTTATTCGTATTTTTTTCTTACTTTTTTTTTTTAGAAAACTTGTAGTCAAG